GCAAAACCTCATCTCTACTAAAAATACAAAAATTAGCCAGGTGTGGTGGTGGGTGCCTATAATCCCAGCTACTCAGGAGGCTGAGAAAGAATCAGTTGACCCTGGGAAGCAGAGGTTGCAGTGAGCTGAGATCGTGCCACTGCAGTCCAGCCTGGGTGACAGAGCAAGACTCCGTCTCAAAAATAAATAAAGACATGAAGTAATGGTGTTAGCCAGGCAAATGGGGAGACAAGAGTTTTCCAAAAAGAAGGAACTGCATGTCCAAGGGCCTCGAGGCAAAAAGATGCTTAGTGAGTCCAAGGAACATAGAACAAGCTAGCAGGGCAAGGATGTAGTGAGTAAGGGGAGAATAACACTAAATGAGACTAGAGTAGTCCATGGGGCAGGTTGTGAAGGGCCATCTTGGCCATGCTAAGGAAATTCAGCTGGTTCCTAGAACAGAGTGAAGCCATCAAAGTGGTTGGTTCCAAGTAAGGGAGTGTCATGATCAGATCTGCAAATGTAAAAGGCCGCTCTACCTGATGTGTAGCGAATCATTTGGCAGAGAGCCAGGGGAGGGGTAATGGTGACAAGGGTGTGGCGAGGACGGAAGGACAGTGGAGAAGGCAGTGGATGGGACAGAAGCACTTTGAATATAACTTTGACAGGGCTTAAGTGACTGAGTCTGAAGGATGACTCCCAGGGTTCTGCCATTGCTGACATGGAGAAAGATCTGCAAGGAAGATCAGGAGCTCAGGTTTGACATATTAGGTACACGATTCCTATAGTGATGATGGTGATGATGATGATGATAAAATAATAGCTAACTCTTTTATTGATCCAAAACTACTAACAATACTATCAGCTGAAATATCTTGATTCAGGCATTATGGCTCAAACCCTTTTCAATGCTAAATGTCCTCATACAGTAATCAGCAGCCTCTGATATAACAATTCTCATCTTACCGAAGCATAAAATCCAAGGCCTTGCTGACTAGACCAGCAGGGCTGAAGTCCACTGGCCAGGGTTTCCTCCCCCATAGACAGTGCTGAGATGGGCGCTGCTAACATTTGCTTCTTTAACTTTCCTGCAGGATTTAATAAACTCCAAATGCTTCTTGCTTGCCCTCTAAGTATCCCCGTCCCACCCTATTCAGTCAACTTTTTTCCCACTTCTTTCAAAATCATTTTTATATTTTTCAGAGTGGCGCATGCCTTAAGAAAATCAAAGTCTACAAAAAGGCTCTTTTCTTCCTAAGACTGTTCTTAACAAGTCACAAATGAAACAGCTCATATTTCCCTGTTTACAACCCTCTAAGTCTATAGATACCCTGTTTTGCTCTCAAAGGCCAAACTCCACATTATAATGTGGCCTGCCCTACCTTCCAATCTCATCTAGTACTTCTCTCCCTTTTATTACTCTGATTTTTTTTAAGTTTCTCAATTTATAAAGTCATTACTTTATGTTAGCTGAAACACTTGAAGTATCAAATGTAATTTCCATTGCCTTCCATGGATGCAATTAACATGTGGTATATGCATCCCCAGTGCTTCCACCCAGTTCCGGCGGCTGGGAAGTCCAAGGTTGAGGGGCTGCACGCGTGAAGGACTTCTTGCTGCGTCTTACTATGGCAGAAGGCTTACTACCCTGACTTTCTGTCTAGTTCTCAAAGCATGCTTCTCCTCAGGGCATTTGCTCTTGCTGTTCTCCATGGACTGCTTTTCCCTTTGACCTTTGCATGGCTGCCTCCTCATCCGTCCATACTCAGCTCACAGACCCTCCCTGGCTAGAGTGGGCTGCTTCCCTTATTCCCCCCAGTGTTACTGTTTATCACCGCATCTGATTTATTTATTTGATTGCATTTGCCACAGACTACAATCAATATTGTTGACTAACTTGTCAGGCTTCCTGCAACTAGAATATCAGTCTACAAGGACTGGGCCCAAGGCTCTGAATTCCACTCTCCCCAGACTCTAGCCAGTTCCAGATGTGCAGCAGGTGCTCAGTAGATGTGTGCTGTTTGAATGGTGAAAGGGCCTTGCACTTCCATCTCGAGGCCGCTTTGTTTCCTGTGTTTCCAGACTTTCTGAACATGCTGTTGTATACTTACTATACTTCTTCGCAGATTATAGACTTTAGTTTTGAGAGATTTTACTTTTCAGGCATTTCTTCTGAAAGTTGAGAAAAAAACATATTGAATGTATTACTTGAAAATGTAACCTGATATACCGCTTAAAATGATTTATTCTGTGTCCTAAATCTGGACACAGTGTAGCTCAATCCTTTTAATAACTGCTAGTGAAAATGCCATCATCCCCATTTGATAAATGAGGAGACTGAGAAATGATGGTGTACTTATATGCAACTGGAAGTCTTCGAGTCCCCAGAACTCTCTCAATACATTTGCCTAATGTGACCTTGTGCTCATTTGCCTCAATTTCACATGCTTCTAGAATCTATTGGGGATGGCCTTAACTTTTTGTTTTCTTGAGTGTTTTCATTTTTAGACCTACGGTAAAGTTGAAAGAACAGTACAACGAACGCCCAAATATATATACCATTTACGTTGATTCATTAGCTGCTAAGATTTTGACACATTTGGTTTACCTATTGATCCATTTATGTACCATTTTTTCTGAAACAGTTGATAAGTACACCATTATAATTCTATTGCTTAAGTACTTCAGCATGTTCAGCATGTATCTCTAAGCATAAGGATATTGTACTTCATACCACTATGCATTATCACACTCACGAAACTTGTTTTGTTTTTTTGTTTGTTTGTTTTGAGGTGGAGTCTAGCTCTGTCGCCCAGGCTGGAGTGCAGTGGCGCAATCTTGGCTTACTACAACCTCCACCTCCTGGGTTCAAGCAATTCTCCCACCTCAGACTTCCGAGTAGCTGGGATTACAGGCACGCACCACCATGCCTAGTTAATTTTTTTGTATTTTTAGTAGTGACAGGGTTTCACCATATTGGCCAGGCTGGTTTCAAACTCCTGACCTCAGGTGATCTGCCCACCTCAGCCTCCCAAAGTGCTGGAATGACAGGCAGAAGCCACCACACCCGGCCATGAAACTTGTTCTTGATAGCATGTTATCTAATAGTGTCCCAGTAATATCCTTTTTTGGTGGTTGATTTTAGATTGAGCCAGGATACAGTCAAATATGAAGCATTGTACTTGGTGGTCATACTCTTTGGTCTCTTTCAGTCTAGCACAGTTCCCAGCTTTTACTTGTCTTTCATAGTAGATATTTTTTAAGAGTCCAGGCCAGTTATTTTGTAAATGTCCCATAACTGAGATTGTTAATTGCTTACTCATGATCACACTTAGTTAAATACTGTTGACAAGAACAAGAACATGGAACAGACAGGCACGGTGGCTCACACCTGTAATCCCAGCACTTTGGGAGGCTGAGGCAGGCGGATCACTTGAGGTCAGGAGTATACACACACACACACACCCCTGAGACTGGGTAATTTATAAAGAAAAGAAGTTTAATTGGCTCACAGTTCTACAGGCTATACAGGAGGCATAGTGGCTTTTGCTTCTAGTGAGGCCTTAGGAAACACAATCATGGCTGAACAGGAAGCAGGCATGTCTTACGTGGCCAGAGCAGAAGAGTGAGGAGGTGCTACATACACACTTTAAACCACCAGACCTCACAATAACTCGTTATCACTAGAACAGCACCAAGGGGATGGTGCCAAACCATTCATGAGAAATCACCCCCACCAGGCCCTACCTCCAACATTAGGGATTACAATTTGGGATTGTCTAGTTGTTTATTCATGATCATACTCATGTTAAATACTACTGGCTAGAACATGGAATAGATGAAGATGTCTGATTGTTTCCCCAGTATTTTCATTTTTTGACCGCTTTTTATGTGAACATAAAAAATGACACCGATCCCAACCATATCACTTTAATGTAAAACTTAAGGACCCTAGAGAACTGAGAACAAAGGGCCTCCTGGAAGTGGAGTTACTGCAGGTACTCACAGGCCTTCGACTTGTATCCCTGTAGCTAGTCAACAAGTCTTTGCCAAGACTCTACCTACGTACCAAAATTAGACTTCTTAAAAAAGGAATAAAAAGCAGTTCAGAGCACCCAGCTGACTTTTTCCCTCTTGCAGAACACTTAAGGAGTTCCGTGATCGACCGAAAGGACTTAATAATCAAAAGGATTAAGCCCAAACCCCAGCAAGGAGATGACATCACAGTGGTGGACGTAGAGAAGCAGATTGAGGCCTTCCGCAGCCGCCTGATCCAGATGCTGGGGGAGCCTCTTGTCCCTCAACTCCAAGACAAAGTGCACTTGTTGAAGCTCCTGCTCTTCTATGCTGCGGACTTGAACCCTGACGTAGAGCCCTCTCAAAAGGGCTGGAGCAGCTCCTGAGGGCCTGCCAAGCACCGAATGCCAAGAATACCTCCTGAACTCTATCTCCAACTACTTAAAAGCTCCAAAAGTAGGAAAAGTGGCTAAAATCTTACAAGACCAAACCTATATTATTTAATCAGTAGGTTGTAATTTCTAACTCTAGTATAAATATCTTTTTTTAAATAATCCTATCCTAGCCTATTCTCAAATATGGCTTAAATATACAAGGTATATATATTTTTTAATAAATTATTTATCTATACTTTTTTTGAAACAGGTTAATACTGTGTGCACCACGTTTAACATTTTCATTCAAGATGTGGAAAAATCCCTCTGCTGAAGCTACTCTATACACCAATATTATGTCATTCAAGGTACCGACGACCTGTTTCAGGAGAGACGTTCATTTTTCCCTAATGAAATGCAAGCATTCTATGTTAGACCTATTATATTGCCTATTAATTTGACTTTGTAATAAATAGAGGGTAGAAACAAAAGGATCAAGTGTGTTACAAAACATTTGATGTTAAAAGGAGACAATAAAAAGGCAATGGTTTTTCAAAATACCAAGTTCACTGTGACTCTGGGTAGGCAGAGTGGAATCACCATTGTTAAAAGGACAAAAAAATAGCCACATTTGAGAAAGTAGTAAGGATTTTTATTGTCAAAACAAGAAATCATAATAGAAGACACAAATAAATTAATTGTTCTCGTAATTTTAGACTCCAGGGCCTCTCTGTGGAAAGGCCAGCTTCTTATACAGACCAGGTACTATCCAAAACGAAAAACAGGTACTTGAGACAGTGTTCCAAACAACAACTGAACTCGTACACAGTGAGGAGAAATAAAAAGGTGGCTTCCCTATTTCCCTCCCTCAGTAAGGTTATGTGTTGCATAAAGGGATGAGGCTCATTTTGGTGAAAAATGCTTTCATACAGAAAATTTTGAATTCATTCACCTCCCCACACAGGCATTCCAGGCCCTGACCTGAACAAGGAAATCAAAATAAGGTAACACCATTGGCTTCACATGAACCTCAAGACTATAATCTAACTGTACCTACCATCTCCTTTACTTTTTTTAAAATTTAATGTCCATTTACCTATACCAAATCAGTAGACTGAATTTTCTCTCTTAGGAAGTTTTTAACCAAATTAGAGCTAAATTAATCTCACTTTAAAGTGCAAGAAAGGCTCTGCTAGAGTAGTGTTTGTTCTGTGGCACAGAAAGAGGAGCATGCCTCCCCCAGCACTGGCCTAACAGGCCCCACAAGAAGAACTGGCTGCAGGACAGTGATCCATTAGGTCTACCAAAAAGCAGGGGGACTCAGGGTTCAGCCTAGAAAGAGGGGTCCCTGCCGAATCTGGCTTTTACCTGTACCCAGGTCCCAAACAAATCTTGGGTCCTCTAACTGATAAGGCTGGAGCACAGCACCAGCCATCAACAGGGCCAAAGTCGTCTCAGGGAGTCAATGAGCACCTCTAAGCCATGATTTGTCAGTGCTCACGTGGATAGTGGTAAAGGAATCGAGAAGTCTGGGTTTTGGAACAGCACAAACATTCTTTACCTAGTAAGCAGTGATCAATGTTCTTACCTAGGGTAAATGATGAAAAAATAGGTAATGAGGTCCCCATGCACCAGTGCTGAGAATATTTAGTCTAACTTTAAAGCAGTACAAAATGACTTCTTCTACACAACAAGGGCCAACTTTGTACTAATGTTTCTCAAAAACCAATTACATCTCCAGCTCTAGCCTCAATTTAACGGGTTCTTTACTTTATTTATTTATTTATTTGACAGAGTCTCGTTCTGTCGTCCAGGCTGGAGTGTAATGGCGTGATCTCAGCTCACTACAACCTCTGCCTCCCGGGTTCAGGCAATTCTCCTGCCTCAGCCTCACAAGTAGCTGGGACTACAGGCGCCCACCACCACACCAGCTAATTTTTGTATTTTTAGTAGAGACGTGGTTTCACCATGTTGGCCAGGCTGGTCTTGAACTCCTGACCTCAAGTGATCCACCCACCTTGGCCTCCCAAAGTGCTGGGATGACAGGCATGAGCTACCACGCCCAGCTGATTAAGTTTTTAAATATACCTTTCCTATGTCAACGCCAAGGTAAAAGGGGAGTGGGGTGCAAGAAACCTTCTTTACCAGAATCCCTGGAAAGAAAGGGCTCTAGAAGCCAGTGGGTGTGAGCACATTCAAGTCACGGGGTTTGAGGTTATGGGCCCGTGGTGGTGGTTTCTTTCCTCCCACCACTGGGATGTCCATCTTGGGCGGCTTCAAGGCTGCTGGCTCTTCAGCCATTTGGTTGGTTTGAGCACGGATCAGTTCCAATGGAGAGGGCTTCTGGGCTCCTCGGTAGGCCTGGGTGGCAAAACTTCCTACAAAAGTGAACCAGAGTGCGAATGATTTCAAAACCAGTAGGCAGCTCCCGATATACAATATGGTAAGATGCCTGCCACGCCGCTCTGTTTTTTGAAGGTACTGCCTTACCAGAGTCATACTTTTGAAGGGATCTCGGTCCAAAGAGGCTCCACTTGTCTGACAAGTTTCGGTCCTTATCCCCACTTCCAGAGTCCATGGTGCTGGGATTTGGGCCAGGTAAGGCTGTGGAAGAACCAGAAGTGAACCAGCCCCTGGAAAAAAAAAAAAAAAACATATCCTAAAATACCTCTTCCTTCACCCCTAGAAATGTCTCACACCAAAAGAACAGGAACTGAACTATCCCTTCTCCCTCCGAAACCACAGGCTTAAATAATACAACCTCGCCTGCCACACTAGCTTTCCTGAAGCACACGGGAACTCGGAAGGGTCACAGGAAGGGCTCACCTGGGCCTCTGCTTAGGTGAAGAATGTGGACTGGTGCTTGGGGTGGACTGGGCTGATGCAGGCTGCCTCTCTTCTTTTGTTATCTCTCCACTCTGTAGCTTTAGTTTCTGCTCAGATGGGTAAGAAGAGAGACTTTTTAAAAATGAAAGCAAATGCAAACAGCTAAGCCTAGGCATAAACAATTTGGTTCGCATTCTAACTTTAAGCACAAGACATCTACAGGTGGAATGATTTCGAGTGATCTAACAGGTAGTCCTTTGTTTTTGCCAAAGGACATGGAACTCCATCTCCTCAAGAAATGTGTTCATTCTACACTGTATTGTGAACATCCCTGTACTTAAAGCTTTACACTACAACTTTTACTTTCAGAAAAGTGAAGTAATTGCCCCCACGTTCCCCCAAGTCGGTAAAATGGAAGAGCCAGAACTCCAGCTGCCAGCCTTCTTGGCCTTTTAAGCAGGGCTTAAGCTCTTGTCTCGCTGCTGCTCCTACCACGTACAAAGCCCTGCCATTCTCAGTCTCTCCAAGCCAAGACTCAGGCATGTGGGTCTCTTCAGCTAAATGCTTCCTCTGAGGAGCCTGCTCCATTCTCTCCTCCTCCTCTCCCATAGTCAGCCACTCTGGGTTCCCTCAGCACCGTCAGCATTCCTCTAACTGACTTGCAGTCTAGCGGGGAGACACAGGTCTAATCTCAGCTCTTCTAGAGCAAGGTTCCCATGCTGTCTCCTCCCTCTGGGCCTGCCATGCCACTGCTTAGCCCAAGCTGTGCTCCAAACAATGATCACGTTTGAATTTTCTCAAACATTCAACAGATCCATTCATGTAAGTTGACAATCTGTTACAAGATGTAAGTTACAGCTAATATTTCAGCCATCCTCATGTTCTACTCCTATGGGAAAGACACAGAAAATGAGTCAACCAAAGTCAGTCCTACCGTTATGTAAGGTGAATTGCTCAAATAGAATTCTCACTGACCTATACTGGAAAGTTCTCAGTTAAGTGTCAAAGGCTGATGGTACCCCTCTCTGGAAGCATCGGCCTTGTTTGAAAGCTTAAACTGGCCACCAGCCCAAACCTGATTTCCTATAGCAGTTTTTAAACCTAGCCTGCAAAAGAATCATCTGGAATGCTCATTACAAAATGCAAACAGGGCCGGGTGCGGTGGTTCACACATGTAATATCAGCACTTTGGGAGGCCGGGGCAGGTGGATCACATGAGGTCAGGAGTTCAAGACCAGCCTGGCCAACATGATGAAACCCCGTCTCTACTAAAAATCAGCCAGGCATGGTGGTGCATGCCTGTAATCCTAGCTATTTGGGAGGCTGAGGTGGGAGGATCACTTGAACCCAGGAGGTAGAGGTTGCAGTGAGCCGAGAGCGCAACACTGTACTTCAGCCCGGGTGACTGCAAACAGGCCACAGTGTTTTATATCCCCACCCACAGGCCACCAGACCCAGGTTATTTCTCCTTATATATAATGTATACCATGACCCTTTCCGGCCTCTTGTGCTCTCCTCACCTTGCCCTCATCATACCCTGTTCAGAACTCTTAAAGCTTGGAACAAGCCTGGATTCTGACCCACCCTTGCCTACAGAAGCCAGTCCAAGTTTCTTAACTGTAATTGCGTCTCTTCACAATCTGCCTCTTCGGGAGCTAGATTTCCAGGCTGCTTTGGAAGGAGGAGGAAGCAGCCAACAGGAAGTAAGGCATCAGGAGACCTGGGTTTGGGTACTATGACTGGCTGAATAGATGGCCTCGAACCTCAATCTCCTCATTGACAGAATATGGAGAAGAGCATCTGCCCCAAAAGGTGATTGTGAGGATGAAATGAATGCAAGGGCTTCACAAATCAAAATGCTATCCAGTATGAAGTGGTCTCCTCTGAAAGAAAGTCACTTGAAACTATTCATTCAAATACTTGGCTGTCACTAAATTAACCCTTACTAAAATTCTTCACTTATAGAAAAGAAATAGCAAACACATTCCAATTCCACATTGGATTTTAACTTGTTAAAATTAAATGCAGAGCATGATGTTCCTTTCCAGTTAAACTATTACCTCTGTTGAGGCTGCCTAGTTCTCCCCAAGATACTTCACATTTGCTGTATGGTTCATAAAGTACTCGTATATATATGTAAGCTGAGGCTCTCACTCGATCCTGCTAACCAGAAGTAGCAAAACAGACACACCCACTGTATAGGTGGATAAGCAAAACTACGAGGCTAAGAGCTCGGGAGCGAGACTAACTCCAGAGTCCTCAACTAACTGAGCTGGTAACTTCGAAACCACAGCCACATTTCAAGCCGTGAACACTGAAGGTTTTGTTTTTTGAAAGTTCCTAAGAGCTTACGTGGAGTGCTTCGGCCACTCGAAGGTACTTGGTCTCCTCGGTGGTGAGGCCCTTGTGAGGTGTGTAGCCAGCATCTGTCAGCCCTGCCTGTCGCTCAAAATGCTGAATGCTTTCCTGGGTCTGTTCTGGGAACAGAGGAGATGACAGTCATGCCCATTGCCCTCTCCCATCACAAAACAGGGAGGACAACATGGATATCTACTGTTCTCCCCAGAAGCAAGAGACCACACTGACCATCCAAAGAAGAGGAGATTTTCCCCAGAGAGGTACTGTAGCACTAATTCTGAACCGCACACAAAGGCTGTCTAGCCAGAAAGAAGCCTTCCCTCACACCAAGCTGAAGAGGTTATTCCTAAAGGGACAACTGAAGAACCTTGAGCTCAATACTCCCACCCTCCTCTTAGTTGTACACGGTGACATTTTCTTTGTATTTAGAAATGCAACATGGGGCTGGACGCGGTAGCTGACGCCTGTAATCCCAGCACTTTGGGAGGCTGAGGCAGGAGGATTACCTAAGGTCAGGAGTTCGAGACCAGCCTGGCCAACATGGAGAAACCCTGTCTCTACTAAAAATACAAAATTAGCTGGGCGTGATGGCGCATGCCTGTAATCCCAGCTACTTGGGAGGCTGAGGCAGAAGAATTGCTCAAACCCAGGAGGCAGAGGTTGCGGTGAGCCGAGACCACGCCATTGCACTATAGCCTGGGCAACAAGAGCAAAACTCCGTCTCAAAAAACAAAAAAATACAAAAATTAGCCGGGCATGGTGGCGGGCGGGTGCCTGCAATCCCAGCTACTTGGGAAGCTGAGACATGAGAATCGCTTGAACTTGGGAGGTGGAGGTTGCAATGAGCCAAGATCGTGCCACTGCACTCCAGCCTGGGCAACAGACTCTGTCTCAAGAGAAAAAAAAGAAAAAAAGAAAGCAGCATGAGGAAGGCGGCTGATAGCCCGACACAGTAAAAATTCTCCAAATATAAAACTTTCTAAGAGATTCACCACCCTCGTCACCTACACAAAAAATTTTGCCAAAGAGAAACTGGCCACATTCAGGCTAGATAGCACCAAGGTACCATCCAGATCCAAACCAGATAGCCTGCCTTGAGCTAGCCAAAGTCTACTGATTCCATGTTTCTCCTGTGTGAAATGGCCCATCCCAGTGCCTGGAACAGCAGACATAACTCCACTCAACATTCCTTCAGTCTGACTTGATTATCTCATAATCAAAAAGTTAGTTCTGCTGTGGAATGAATAACGGCTGACTTTCTGCTTAATCTGTACATAAACCACATAATACACTCTCACATACAGGAATGTGGCAGCTGTGAACCAGAAGACTAGATACCAGATGCCTTTTATGACTTCGTCATTCCTCTTCTAAGGAGGTATTTCCATCAGAAATAGAAGAAAAAAAAAAAACCTAAATGCATAAAGATGTTCTTCAGACTTACCAGGTAGTCACTTGAAAATCTAAAAACAAGGGATTTAACGCATGACAATATACCAATACCAGGAATTTTTTTTTAATAGAGACAGGATCCCACTATGTTGCTCAGGCTGATTCTCAAACTCCTGGTCTCAAGCATTTCTCCTGCCTCGGCCTCCCAAAGTGCTGGGATTACAACCATGAGCCACCGCACTCAACTAATACCAGAATTAAATGCAGCTTTCCTGCCCCGCTACCCTCCCCCACAATGGAGTCTTGCTCTGTTGCCCAGAGCTGGAGTGCAATGGCGCTATCTCAGCTCACTGCAACCTCACCTCCCAGGTTCAAGCAATGCTCCTGCCTCACCCTCCCGAGTAGCTGGGATTACAGGTGTGCACCACCACGCCCGGCTAGTTTTTGTATTTTTAGTAGAGACGGGGTTTCACCATGTTGGCCAGGCTGGTCTCATACTCCTGACTTCGTGATCCGCCCGCTTCTGCCTCCCAAGGTGCTGGAATTACAGGTGTGAGCCACCACGCCCAGCCTTAAATGCAGCTTTTTAAAACTTAAGACTATAGCAACATCAAAAGTTCATGGCAGTGTTAATTGAAAAAAACCAGAATGGTATATTTACTATACCTAGAGTTATATAAAAATATGCATGTATGTGGAAATGAGTAAGCCAAATAAATATGAGTGACATTCACATACTGGAGTGTCATAATGTTCTGTACTGTTAGTAAACTATATATATATTTTCTGAGACAGAGTCTCACTCGTTGCCCAGGCTGGAGTACAGCGGCATGGTATCAGCTCACTGCAACCTCTGCCTCCCAGGTTCAAGCAATTATCTTGCCTCAGCCTCCCGAGTAGCTAGGATTATAGATACACGCTACCACACCCAACAGTTTTTGTATTTTTAGTAAAGTTGGGGTTTCATCATGTTGGCCAGGCTGGTCTTGAACTCCTTACCTCAAGTGATCCACCCACCTCTGCCTCCCAAAGTGCTGGGATTACAGACCTGAGCCACCACCCCCGGTGGGTAAATTATTTTCATTAAAGAAGTTATATTGTGCTAGCCGGGCACGGTGGCTCACGCCTGTAATCCCAGCACTTTGGGAGGCCAAGGCGGGTGGATCACGAGGTCAGGAGATGGAGATCATCCCAGCTAACACAGTGAAACCCCATCTCTACTAAAAATACAAAAAAATTAGCGGGGCGTGGTGGCGGGTGCCTGTAGTCCCAGCTACTCGGGAGGCTGAGGCAGGAGAATGGCGTGAACCCAGGAAGCAGAGCTTGCAGTGAGCCAAGATCACGCCACTGCACTCCAGCCTGGGTGACAGGGCAAGACTCCGTCTCAAAAAAAAAAAAAGTTGTCTCAACTCTTCCCCACCCCTATGGCACTCTACTCTGATGGTGAAGAGTGCTTACTTTTGCTAAAAAAAACAATGAATAAGTTTTGTAACACTGCTAGAACACATTCTCAAGCTTGTAATATAAAAGTAGTGTTGTTGATTCAACAGATGTGAATAAGAGAAAATCAAAGTATATAGGCCAGGTGCGGTGGCTCACACCTGTAATCCCGGCACTTTGGGAGGCCTAGGCGGGTGGATCACAAGGTCAGGAGTTCAAGACCATCCTGCCCAACAGAGTGAAACCCCATCTCCACTAAAAATACAGAAATCAGCCAGGCATGGTGGCACGCGCCTGTAGTCCCAGCTACTCGGGAGGCTGAGGCGGGAGGATTGCTTGAACCCAGGAGGCGAAGGTTGTAGTGAGCTGAGACCACACCATTGCACTCCAGCCTAGGTGAGAGTGAGACTCTGTCTCAAAAAAAAAAAGAAACCAAAGTAAGAGTTAAGAGTTTGGACTTTGGGTTCTTGGTGAATTCACTAGGAAATGCCCAGGACAAATGGATGCCCTCCTGGAGAAGATAAACAAGGGCTTATGCCTTCAAAAATGAGCCAACCAAGGAGAACCTCTATGTACCTTACCCTGGTAGGGGCACAGCTGCTGACAAGCAGAGCCATGTATCTAATTGTTAACTTCCCACAGCAACCTGTACAGCCCTCCAGAATGAAGTTTAGTTAGCTTGTTATAAGGTTAAGAAAAAATCCAAGTTCTTATATCAGGGTTCATTAGGATGACCAATCATACATTCTTAAGACTAAAGACACTTGGACCTGGTCGTCTTCCTGGTAGACCAACTTTGAGCTGTTTAATTACAAAAAAAAAAAAAAAAACTGGGGCAAGTGGGAAATGCCTGGATGTTTGGCCTTCTCCAGCAGAGCTTGAAACAGTGACAGCAGCAGCTGCCAGCCACTGAGCACTGGGCCGTCTCATCCTCACCTCAGCCTGCCAGTGACACTCCCCATTTTAGAGCGGGGCGGTCTCCGCAGTTAAGTAGCCTGCCCAAGGCCACAGTGACAGATCCGGGAAAATGAGATTGTATCAACAAAGCAACAGGAATGCACCTAAATCAGACTAAGATGCTTAACATTTGGCAAATCTTCCACCTAATAAATGGAGCTTCAATACTGACATGATTCAGCCAACCTAACAAACTGACATTTGTTGGGACAAGGTAAGGCGGGCATGTTGCAGAATCATCTCCAGTCCGCTTGTAGGAAGCCTCAGCTCTTCCCCGCCCCTATGGCACTCTACTCTGAGGGTGAAGAGTGCTTACTTGTGATCAGAGAATTCATGATGACATGGGTAGCTTTAGCCTTCACCACTGGGACCTTGTCCACACTGTCAATGGCTGATGACAGGGTCATGGCAGAGGAGGCTAGATTGGCCTCTCCTTCCTCCACCTGTTCAAGAGAGGTACAGTACAGAAGCACTTAGGTAGGGCAGGGGAGACACACACCTAAACTTACTCCTTTGGGGAGGAAGTTACTGAAATAACATTAATCTGGTAAGTGAGGAAATCGTTGAAGGGAAGAGTTGGTCATCTCCACCCAGCTAGATAGGTATTATCCAAAGTGACAACAAAAACAGACATTATGTGAATAGTTTACATTTATAAAGGTGGGAAAGTCAGAATTTGAAAGTCTGAGGTCTACTACCTTCCTAGACTATGACCTTCCAGTATACTATAGTACTATGCCCTAAGAATGCAGAAGAAATGCTTATTATGAAGCACTGGCCACATCCCAGCACTGTGCTAGATCTTAATTGATGAGAGCACTAGGTAAGTGGTTCTCACCCTGGGCCAGGCATTAAAACAGACTGCCGGGCTCCACCTCAGTTTGATTCAGTAGGTCCCGGGTGGTCCGGGGTGGAGTTCAAGAATTTGTTTCTAATAAATTCCCAGGTGATACTGCTGCTGCTGGTCCCAAGACCACACCTTGAGGACCACTGTTCCCAAGGTTCAGGTAATGGTCTTTTGAAACAAACAAAAAAATCTACTTAGCTCTTCATTTTCAACATGCAAGAGCTGGGAGCCTCCACCTTCTGCAATCGAAACACCTGATACCTTACTGAGGCCTAGCAGGGAGGAGAGAACAAGACTTACTCTTTATTCTGTGCCTGTCTGGAAGAACTGAGAAGAAAATAAGATGGTTGAAAAAAAGGGGGGGACAGATAAAAAGTACTGAAAAATGTTGTATCCTTACTACAAAACGGAATTTATACCTTTAAGCTGTGACCTTGAGTAAAACTTGAGCCTATGTTTCCTTACTGGGAAGATGGTTGATTCCTAACATGGGGAGAGTTAGGGCAAATGAAAGATCGCATGTGATGAGTCAGGCGGAGCTCTCCTTTGGCACAGCTGTTCCAAGTTGTCAGCTGTTCCAGCTGAGGCCCCGCAGAAACCTGGAAGCCCGCTCATTCCTTGCGTTGTGGAGCCATCAGCAGGGTGTGTGGCCTGGGAAGCGCCACCAGAAGCCCCGCTCACCTCCTGCTCTGGACCCTCAAGCCCACTGCTCTGACGTCACAGGCAAGCTGCAGCAGGCCTTTTCTCCTTGCACTTTTGCTACCTGTTACGTGGCATACTCTCTCCTCAACAGCTGACTGGCTCATATTTCAGTAGATAATTGATACAGGGAATATCCCCCAGAGCTGTAGGGGGTACTTTCTTAGAAAGGAGCTTTCTGCCCTCAGAGTGTACTGGAGGTGGGGGGAAAAAACACTCCTTAGAAAGAATCAAATATGGCTCTGCAAAGAGAAAGTTAAGCAGGGAGCCTGCGTTCATAGTACCAGCTGTGTAGCTAATACAGAATGTGCCAAGCCTTTACATCCCTTTACTCAATCCCCACAGCACCTCTATGACATAAGGTATTCCCAGCTCTCAGAGGGAGACACTGGGGCTCAGGGTGCAGTTGTGTGCCCAAGGTCTTGCTAGGACAGACCACCTGGGACTCACACCCCGGTCTATTTCAGGGGACCCTGACTGTGTACTGCCTGTCAGGCCCTGAGCTATCATATGGCTCAAAGTTCAGAGAAACTGTAACTACAGGTTAGACAGCCTTATGTGAACTTGGTGGACTTACGTTATTCAGGCAACAGTCTAGCCTTTCTGTATTCTTGGTGGCTGGAGAGAAAGAGGGGAGAGGGTCCCTGAGGTCGGGAAACAGAGGCTCCAATAATACGAACCTACGAAACTAGACTGCACGAAAGACTGTGAGGTGTGTTCGGAGTGGCCTTAGGAAGGAGGCAGTTCTTACAGAGGACGGCCATGGGCAAAGGCAGCTGAGGCTGGAAGAACAGCATGAGGAGAGGTACAGCATGTGTTCAAGAAAGGGCCAATTTTTTTCCCCAATCACAAAATGAGCATTTTTTGGGAATCATGCCAGGCCCTCGGCTGGATTCTCCAGGTAACAGTACAAACCTAGACACGGCCCCTGTCCTCAGGAAGCTAATGGAGGGTAGGAAAGCAATGCAGGAATGACGATGGGGACCATGGTACCGTGGGGAGCTCAGAGGGAGGGGTGATGGTCTTATCAGGAGGACGGAGATGTCACGCAAACTGTCACGGAAGAGACTTTTGAGCTAAGACTTAAAGGGCAAATGGAGTGGGAGAAGGGGTGAGAGGACAGGATGAGGATGGTAAACATCCTAAACAATCAGGGCAGTGTGAGCCAAACACGGACAGGCAGAAAATACGCTGGTAAGTGCGAGAATTTTAGGTAACTTGCGTGGTTCAAGCACTGGGTAGGGGAGCTGGGGAGATGCAGGCAAGACTTAGATCACATGGAACGTGGATCATGCTGAGCTTGGATTTAGCTCTGTGGGGAATGTGGAAGAGTCTCAGGAGCAGACAAGGCCATTCGAGTTTTGAATTAAAAAGAAAAAAACAGAGGGGGATTTAGAATACCATCTATTGGGTACACTGTACACTGTTCGGGTGACGGGCACACAAAAACCCAGACTTCACCACTATACAATTCATCCATGTGAACAAAACCTCGGGTCACCCTAAAGCTACTGAATTTTTTTTTTTAACAAAATAAATAAAATCTTAAAGAAGAAAAGACAACTGTAACTGAGGCACAGAAAACACATACAGGGATGGTTGCTGCCCAACTCCGTGGGCACAGGGAGCCGCTGAAGGCTCCTGGAGCAGAGGAAGGACAAACGGGTTGCGTGTGCCAGAAGCGGCCAGCAGGGTCAGGTACCTTGGCGAGGTGCTGATACTTGCGCTCTGGAATCACTGGCTTCCAAGGGACGCTGCCCATGTCCGATGGAGGAGGAGTCATGGGCGCAGGGTCCTCGAGGGTATCATCATAGCTGAGTGCCCGGCGGTATATCCCGATGGGCAGGGACATCTTGCCTAGAGGCCCACTAGCCTCAAGAGCTAAGAACAGAGACACCTGTCAAGACAGGTTCAGCAACTGGACATACTAGTAGCTTTGAATTAATCTGCAGGAAGGAAAGCTCTGAAATACTATTGTTCTCGGACAGAGCAAAACAGCTTGTTCTGGAGTAGCTCATCCCGTTCAGGAAAGGCAGTGGCACCAAGCCCTTCCTCTATGCCTGACACGGTGGGGGGTCCGCTTAACCCACTCAGCCGTCCTAATCCTTTTTTTTTATTTGTTTAGAGACACAGTCTACGTTGCCCAGGCTGGAGTGCAGCGGCACCATCACGGCTCACTGCAGGCTCGACCTCCTGGCTCAAGTGCCTCAGCCCAGTGAGTAGTTGGGATTATAGGCATATGCCACCACGTCCAGCTAATTTTCATGGATTAGGAAACCTGAAGTTCCATTTAAATGTACTTGACCACAACTTCCAAGTACAGTTTGGAATCAAAACCCAAACCTATCTGATTTCAAACCTGTGTCCTTTATGCCACAGAAGCCACCCCCCTACTGCAATACTAAAGCTCTCAATTCATGCAAGACTGAGGATATGAAATGACTGATGATACGAAGTTCTCATTCCCATTTCATAGATGAGGAAACTAAGGCCTAGGGGTAAACTGATCTTCCCAAGTTCATTCAGAAAATGGCTGCCTGGGGCTCAGCCAAGGTCTGTGGATCTTCTACCTTCCTTTCCTCACCAAAGAAAACAGCACTGCAAGAAATGTTGTCTGGCATCACCTGTAGTTGCAAATGTTCTATATGATTTATTCCAACAGCAGAGTCACTTTCCATCACAGAAATGATTGACAACCACTCTCGCAAACCACCACCAGCTGATCCCGCCATTCCTGTCCACTGGAACTGACGCCCAGCATGTCCGGTTGTGATGCGGGCACTCTCGGCTGTGCCAGACCAGGGAGCCAAGTTCATTGTGTTTCGTTTCCTAACCTTTGCGTATCAGAACTCATGTCCAGACCCCACCTGAGAGGCGACATGTTCCTGTTGCTAAAATCATACAATCACATTCTCTAAGACATCAACCTGCCTGGCAGTAAGTCCAAAACCACAAAAGATTTCATTTAAATGGCAAGGGGACCAAGCAGCTCTCACTATTATTCCTATTGCTATTAGTAATAATTAACAAAACCATAGAAATAAAAAGAGGATTAGAGGTTGCCAGGGAGTGGGTGGGGGGCAGTGAGGATGCGACTGCTAATGTTATGAGGTTTTCCTGTGGAGGTTATGAAAACGTACTGCGATTTGGCCGGGTGCGGTGGCTCACGCCTGTAATCCCAGCACTTTGGGAGGCTGATGTGGGTGGATCACCTGAGGTCAGGCGTTCCAGCCTGGCCAACATGGCGAAACCCCATCTCTACTCAAAATACAAAAATTAGCCAGGCGTGGTGGTACGTGCCTGTAGTCCCAGCTACTTGGGAAGCTGAGGCAGGAGAATTGCTTGAACCCGGGAGGCGGAGGTTGCAGAGAGCCAAAATCGTGCCACTGCACTCCAGCCTAGGCAACAGAGTGAGATTCCATCTCAAAAAGAAAGAAAATGTACTGCAACTAGATAGTTTTGTTTGCACAACCCTGTGAATATACTAAAAATCACAACATTGTTCACTTTCGGTGGTTGAATTTTATGGTATGTGCATTACATCTCAAACACACACACAAGCGAATAATAATTACTAAGTCTTCCTCCTTGCTAGACAATTACATCCCTCATCTTATCTAATCCTCATTAAGCAGATACTCTTCCCATTTTCCAATTTCCCATTTTCACAATCAACTTGCCCAATATCACCTAGCTTGAAAGAGTGCGCCGGGAACTGGAACACAGACCTGAGCCAGTGCACACACTCTGCATGCAACACACTACAAAGCATTCACCGAAAGGACACAACCCTACGGCTCGCGATGGCTACATGGAGTGTACGGTAATCACAGCAACAATGAAAGACAAACTAAAACAGAGCTGATGATGTTAAAACTAGAGATGGATCTATATTGGGGAATGCAGGAGAATTCTGTTAATCCACCTAGTTGGGAAGCAATTTCGAAAACATCTTAAAGATTCCCACTGAACAGCCATCCTAAAACCAATCAGGTCAGCTAATACTTACTAGAAAATATGTTCGTGCACAGACAGACCAAATGCATTCTGGGCAGTAAATACATATTTATCACTGATTTTTAACCCCCATTTTTACATATTTTGTTTAATCTTCACAATCCTGAGAGATAGGAACTATCATCTTTCTTTGTCATCATACTTTACCGAGAATCAGAAATTAAGCGATTCAGATTTAATTAAAAATCACTTTCCTTTCTCATGAAACAATTCAAGTAGTCATCAATGGTGTCAGTAACCCAGAAATTGACTCATTAAGGGTTGCTGTGAGCATTTTCATGATTAAGTTCAATCTGCCATTTAAGCAGGCTGGTGCCTTTTTACCAAGACTTCCATCCCACCTCCCCACCACCCCCAAAAAGGTGAGTTTAATCACTTTGGTACATACTACAAGAAGGTGAGTTTAATCACTTTGGTACATACTACAAGAACTGCACAACTTATTCTGAATTCTTATTTGATAACTAGGAAAGTAACAAACTTGTCATAATACCCTTAACTGAAGTGACTATTCTCCTTAAGTTAAAGTTTCATACTATGGCTGAGCAACTAATAAAATATTTAAATGATGCCAATCTAAGGCCGGGCACGGTGGCTCACACCTGTAATCCCAGCACTTTGGAAGGCCAAGGCAGAAGGATCATCTGAGGTCAGGAGTTTGAGACTAGCCTGGCCAACATGGAGAAACCATGTCTCTATTAAAAATACAAAAAATTAGCCAGGCGCAGTGGCAGGCACCTGTAATCCCAGCTACTCGAGGCTGAGGCAGGAGAATCACTTGATCCTGGGAGGCGGAGGTCGCCGTGAGCTGAGATCATGCCGCTGCATTCCAGCCTGGGCAGAGTGAGACTCCATCTCGAAAGTAAAATAAAACTGGCCGGGCGCGGTGGCTCACACCTGTAATCCCAACACTTTGGGAGGCCAAGGCGGGCGGATCACAAGGTCAGGAGATCAAGACCAGCCTGGCCAATATAGTGAAACCCCATCACAAAAATTAGCTGGGCGTGGTGGTGTGTGCCTGTAATCCCAGTTATTGGGGAGGCTGAGGCAGGAGAATGGCTTGAACCCAGGAGGTGGAGGTTTGCAGTGAGCTGAGATTGTGCCACTGCACTCCAGCCTGGGCAACAGAGCAAGACTCCATCTCAAAAAAATAAAATAAAATAAGCCAATCTATTAAGTCTAAATACTCACCTGGTGGCAGAGATTAACCATTAACATATAGTTCAGATAAAATGGTTACTATCTAGCTTAAAACATTAATAAGGGCAAAATATGATTTTACCAAGAAGAATTAAGTTTACCAGGCACTTCTGGTTGTCTTGAAGCCATTGAAAGACTGGGATCCAGGTGCTTTTTCTATATAGAATTCCGAGCTGAGTCCCTGCCACCTAATAAAATAACAAAGGGCATTTTCTTATGGTGAACACCAAAGAGCAGCACCAATGCTGTTCTTCTGACAGGCACACAGAATTTTATGGCTTGTTTACAAGGTTGAAACACACACACACAAGAGCCAGTGGGTGACAAACATGCCAATGAAAAAAGAAGGATAAAGTCAAAGGTCTCACCACACCTGTGGCTGATCTTAACACCTGTGAGATGACAGCGCTAAGACGCCATACATGGTGAAGTCACCTTACCACAGTGAAATGATGTGACGACTAAGCTGACAGACAGATGTTAATGAGGAACATGGTCCAGCTGCTGCAAATTAGCAAAGCTTCCCAGGAAGAGTCCATCCAGAGGTTCTAATAACAACAAACAGCCAGCATTGGAACAGCCCGTCAGAGTCTGGCAAACACTGTTTACTCCCCACAACAACCCTGCAGGGGCTATTACACTCATTTCATTATCTTAACTCACAGCAAGTGGCCAGATACTACAGTAGGGAAATTCGCTCTTTACTGCTAACACTACCAACTATTTATAGCGTTTATCTTGTCTTTTAATTCTTGCAGCAAGATGGCAAAGCAGATATTATTTATCCCTTTTTTTTTTTTTTTTTTTTTTGAGACGGAGTCTCGCTCTGTCACCCAGGCTGGATCACAGTGGGGCAATCTCGGCTCACTGAAAGCTCCGCCTCCCGGGTTCAGGCCATTCTCCTGCCTCAGCTCTCAAGTAGCTGGCACTACAGGCGCCCGCCACCACGCCCGGCTAATTTTTTGTATATTTAGTAGAGACAGTTTCACTGCATTAGCCAGGATGGTCTTGATCTCCTGACCTCGTGATCCGCCCGCCTCAGCCTCCCAAAGTGCTGGGATTACAGGCGTGAGCCACCGCGCCCGGCCCCCCCGCCCTTTTTTTTAAGCTATCTCTTACAGAAAAGATATCCTAAATTTAAAGAGAAGGAAACTGGACGGGTGCGATGGCTCACGCCTGTAATCCCAGCATTTTGGGAGACTCAGGCGGGCAGATCACTTAAGGTCAGGAGTTCGAGACTAGCCTGGCCAACATGGTGAAACCCTCTCTATTGAAAATACAAAAATTAGCTGGTCATAGTGGCGGGCGCCTGTAATCCCAGCTACTCGGGAGACTGAGGCAGGAGAATAGCTTGAACCCGGGAGGCGGAGGTTGCAGTGGGCCAAGATCCAGGCACTGCACTCCAGCCTGGGCGACGGAGTGAGACTCAGTACCAAAAAAAAAAATTAAAAAAATTAAAAATGTTTAAAAATAATAATAAAGAGAAGGAAACTAAAAATCAGAGGAGTTCATTTGTCCAAGGTCATAGATAAGTGGTCCATGTGCAAGGTAGGTACTTTCATGCTGTTTACAGGGGAGTTAAAGCGAGGGCCTGAGAAAGTTACTCTGTTTTTCAGCTTGCTACACCGTCCCTCTATCCCGATAGGGCTCAGAGAGAGCAAACCAGTTATTGATAGTTCGTCACTAACGAGCGTCGCAAAGGCCGAGTTCAGCCATCCTCCCAGTCCAGGGAGCATTCCCGCCCCAGACACATCCCCTTCCCCTTTCCCTGTGCCCCCATCCCCCAGCTCACCGTCCCTCTGCCTCTCCGTCACAATATACAATACGGTGCCGCCACGACATGAAAGGCCGGCTGCTTCACCCACCCCTCCATGCTAAGATTAGGGCCGGGACCCTAGCCGAAGGCAGGGTCTGAGGAGAATGAGGCTGAGGACAAGCCGTGGGGGCTCTGGCTGGGCTGGTCCCAGGAAGCGGAGGGGAAGCCCGTACGGGAGCTGCAGGGCATCCCCGGAGGGAGCCCCATCAAGGAGACCCCAGAAAGGGGAGCCAGGGAGACAAGAGGCGACCCAGCCAAGCTCGGAGCCGGGATGAAGGTTAAGGGGTGAGGGGAGAGGCTTGGAGGGGCCCCCAGATCGGGCCTCGCCGGAAGCGCCCCTCCTGATCGGCAGAGAACGCAGCCCCAAGGGAGGGCCCAGGCCCGCCATCTGTTCACCTGTTATCCTGCTGCCGCGGGACTGCCTGCGGCCCGGAGTCCGGCACTAAAAAGGTTCTGAGGGTCCACGTCTCCCGAGATGCTGTGGCGTAGTCTGGACCCAAGCCATGGTGAGAGCGGCAGCGATTTCCAAGGTCCCCAGGACCCACCAGGCAGCACTACCTACCCGGCGGGCAGGCAGCCCTGCTGATAAAGCCTCCGGAGACCGCGGGATCTCGCGCGAGACTTGGCCCAGAGACGCACAGGGCATACTGGGAGTTGTAGTCCACGATCGCGAGTCCCCACCCTACGCTGCCCAGCTGGCTGTGGAGCCGCAACTCCGAGTGTGGAATCCGCCAGCCCCGAGAGGAGACGCCACACTTCACCACCACTTCCTCAGCGCTTGTGCTGGGCCTGGGTCCGTGACAAGCTAAGGGAAGCCGCTGGTGGCATAGTAAAATGACACCCACAAGCCCAAGCCCAAGCCCTCAAGGCTCATAAAGGGCTGCCAAGTGCGAGTACTTGTCATCCTGTTTTTCCCACTTCACGGAGGTGAAGCTGAGACTGGGAGAGATGAGAAGTCACTTCGGTTAATAAGCGGTGCAGTGAGCACGGACTGTCTCCCAAAACAGCGGGGTTAGGCAGGGTTCATACTAGCAGCTGAACCAAAACGGGGAACCGACCTCACCTTCCTCCTCTAGGGAAGACGATCCTAACATGATTTCCCTTTTACATTAAGGAAAGTGAGGCTTAGGGGCGCCAGCTGAGGTGTCAGTCACATCCTGAAGGAAGACTTCTCTTATCCCAGAAGGGTTCACAAAGAAGACGAAGCAACGAAGTTAAGGCAGAAGCTGCAAAAATCCATCCCCGTTTCTACCCCAGTCCAAAGTTTGCCATCAAAACTCATCTCAGGAGGCCTATGATTGGTGGTGTGGCGTGAATGCCACATTTAGATTTCAGCATTTGAGGCTTCCAGCCACACTGGCAGAACTGAGAGGCCTTGCTCATGCAACTTTAAACTTAAGCACTGTTTCCAGACCAGGGTGCTTGAGTGCACTAAGAATTAAAGTCTTTGATGAATTATATAATTAGCTTATGAACAGCACAATTACATTGCAGTATAATTGTGTGTATGTGTGTGTGTGTGTTAAAGGTGTTCCTTTGTTAGTTTGGAGCTTTTAAAATATGCTATATTTTTTAACTTCTGTGGAAGCAAAGCTGGCACCTTGCTCTTTATCCGCCACAGGAAGGGATGTATATCACCTCTCAGTCAGAAAAGGAAGAAATAGCACTTTGCACCCTTATATACATCATAAGGTGGGATCATCTCATATATTTCTTAGCCACAAATACATGAAAACTTAAGACTTTCCTGGAAGTTACTATTTGATTAAAACAATTTTATCTGGCTGGGCACGGTGATTCACACCTGTAATCCCAACACTTTCAGAGGCTGAGGTATTGGAGACCAGCCTGGCCAACATGGCAAAACCCCGTCTCTACTAAAAATACAAAAATCAGCAGGGCGTGGTGATGGACTTCTGTAATCCCATTTACTCTGGAGGCTGAGGCAGGAGGATCGTTTGAACCTGGGAGACGGAGGCTGCAGTGACCTGAGATCACGCTACTGCACTACAGCCTGTGCTACAGAACGAGACTCCATCAAAAAAAAAACCCCACTTTATCCCTAATAATTGTGGTACCAGTGTCTGAAGCTGCCATGGTCTTGGTGCATGGCACCTATGTGAGAGCACCTATTTCTTTTCCACAAATAATAGACTGTAAACTTTTTTTTTTTTTTGAGACAGGGTCTCACTTTGTTGTCCAGGCTGGAATGCAGTGGCGCAATCTCGGCTCACAGTAACCTCTGCCTCCCAGTTTCAAGCGATTCTCCTGCCTCAGCCTCCCGAGTAGCTGGGACTACAGGCGCCTGCCACCATGCCCGGCTAATTTTTTGGATTTTCAGTAGAGATGGGGTTTCACCGTGTTAGCCAGGATGGTCTCGATCTCCTGACCTCGTGATCCGACTGCCTCGGCCTCCCAAAGTGCTGGGATTACAGGCGTGAGCCACCACACTGGCCAAACTTTTAATCTTAGCAATTTTGTGGGTTTTTCCCCTCTTAGTGGGTGTATTTTTGCGGAGAAGCTTTTTTTTTTTTTTTTCACTGAGATGGAGTCTTGCTTTGTCACCCAGGCTGGAGTACAGTGGCGCAATCTCAGCTCACTGTAGCCTCCGCCTCCCAGGTTTAAGCGATTTTCCTGCCTTAGCCTCCTGAGTGGCTCGGATTACAGGCAGGTGTCACCACGCCTGGCTAATTTTTGTGGAGACGGGGTTTCACCATGTTAGCCAGGCTATTCTTGAACTCCTGACCTCAGGTGATCCACCCGCCTCAGCCTCCCAAAGTACTGGGATTACAGGCGTGAGCCACCACGCCCGGACCAAGGAGGAGCTAATTCTTTTAATGCCTAGATTCCCATGCAAGCCTTCTTCTTCAAGTAAACTATTTTGCTAAATGGTTTGATTTTGTAGGCTTCCTGTAGGGAGGATTAAGTCACAACTGAATCACAAGACTTAAGAATGGCCCCTCCTTGGCCGGGCGCGGTGGCTCAAGCCTGTAATCCCAGCACTTTGGGAGGCCGAGACGGGCGGATCACGAGGTCAGGAGATCGAGACCATCCT